ATCCCCTCCCCCCTGAGGTTGTATGAAAAGAAAAAACAACTCTTTTAGAATGATCGTTTTTTATGATAAATTTAAAAAGCGAGCTGAGTGAACTAAGTCACACATATGCCCTTCATCGATCACAAAGGGTAAGGCTTTTCCACACTTGCATGATATGGCTGTCATGTGCCTTGTGCCAACTTCAAGACCTTTCAGTGCACTCACTGCAGTGAACGTACCATTCTAGTCGTTCAGGTCTCCAGCCTGCTAACCAACATCAATTGAGGAGACATGTCTTTCCATATTGCTGCCCCACATCTGTGGAATAGTATCCCTTCGAACATCCAGTCCAGCACCATCACTCAAGTCTTTCAAAACATACTTTTATAATCTTGCTTTTACCAAATTAATACCAATACCAAGTATTTTAGTGGTTTTGTGTATTTTTTTCATACTCCTTCTTGGTTTTTGCTTGGTTTTGGTTTTGGGGGTTTTTTAGCACCATGAGTGCCTGGAATCAATTGGAATTGTGATTTTTATTAAAGTTCGTCATTATTATTATTATCGTTATTATTTTCAGACAAATTTTGCTCATGCCTACCCCATGTTACACATGCTCACCAATATGCATGCTGAAGCAGTGTGTTGGCTGCAGGGGTTGTTGCTAGGTTACAGAGAGATTGCTCTTAAACCATATGGAGCCTATTAGCTGTTGGCAAGGAATCTTGAACAGTTGAAGTGAGCTGTGCATTTACTGCCGGAACCACATACCCCACAAAATAGGCTTATGATCATAGCTTCCGGCAAAGCGTCTGCGAACTATAACGTTGATTGCTCCATTTTTTATCAGCCGAGTACAAGGACGAGATCACCAAGGTCTTTAAGGAGTATTCTGAGCCCGAGGAGAGAGAAATTGCCTTGTGCTTTGACGTCACTGATGCGTGCATTGGCGTTGATCGGTCGACTTTCCGCATCAATAAGTACAAGGGTCCGGTGAGTATGTTGCAAACAAACATAGAGGCTACTCTGTCAAGTAGGCCTCAAATTATACTTCAACCTGGTAAATATCTTGCTTCTAGAAAAAGGTTACAGAAGTTGAAGTGTTCAGAAGACCTGATTCATATGCTAGCCATGTCATCTTTTAGTCACCCATTCAATACACGNTTCCCCTCCCCCCTGAGGTGATATGTAAAGGAAAAAAAACAACTCTTTTAGAATGATCATTTTTTATGATAAATTTAAAAAGCGAGCTGAATGAACTAAGTCACACATATGCCCTTCATCGATTGCAAAGGGTAAGGCTTTTCCACACTTGCATGATATGGCTGTCATGTGCCTTGTGCCAACTTCAAGACCTTTTAGTTCACTCACTGCAGTGAACGTACCATTCTAGTCGTTCAGGTCTCCAGCCTGCTAACCAACATCAATTGAGGAGACATATCTGTTCATATTGCTGCCCCACATCTGTGGAATAGTCTCCCTTCGAACATCCGGTCCAGCACCATCACTCAAGTCTTTCAAAACATACTGTTATAATCTTGCTGTTACCAAATTGATACCAATACCAAGTATTTTAGTGGTTATGTGTATTTGTTTCATACTCCTTCTTGGTTTTTGTTTGTTTTTGGTTTTGGGTTTTTTTTAGCACCATGAGTGCCTGGAATCAATTGGAATTGTGCTTTTTATAAAAGTTTGTCATTATTATTATTATCGTGATTATTTTCAGACAAATTTCGCAAATATGCTCACCAATATGCATGCTGAAGCAGTGTGTTGGCTGCAGGGGTTGTTGCTAGGTTACAGAGAGATTGCTCTTAAACCATATGGAGCCTATTAGCTGTTGGCAAGGAATCTTGAACAGTTGAAGTGAGCTGTGCATTTACTGCCGGAACCACATATCCCACAAAATAGGCTTATGATCATAGCTTCCGGCAAAGCGTCTGCGAACTATAACGTTGATTGCTCCATTTTTTATCAGCCGAGTACAAGGACGAGATCACCAAGGTCTTTAAGGAGTATTCTGAGCCCGAGGAGAGAGAAATTGCCTTGTGCTTTGACGTCACTGATGCGTGCATTGGCGTTGATCGGTCGACTTTCCGTATCAATAAGTACAAGGGTCCGGTGAGTATGTTGCAAACAAACATAGAGGCTACTCTGTCAAGTAGGCCTCAAATTATACCTCAACCTGGTAAATATCTTGCTTCTAGAAAAAGGTTACAGAAGTTGAAGTGTTCAGAAGACCTGATTCATATGCTAGCCATGTCATCTTTTAGTCACCCATTCATTACACATCCCTGCTAGTCTCTTATATGTTCATCACAAATCGTTCAATTTAAAGTCAAGTCACAGGCTTTCCAGATGAACTGCGATAAATGCGTCCCTTTGTCATTAATCCCCCTGCTGCCTTTGACTTGCCTTGTGACTGGATTAATTTCAGAACTTTTTCAGGGGTTTATGAAAGGTCTTGTAGTGGACTCAACCATAACAGGGCATTATGTCATTGCCGACCACTGTGACAAAAAATAACTTTTTCCAGAAACGGAAAACTGTATTGAGGTCCTTTAACTTTGGCTAAGAGGCTATGCTATTGGTTCTGGTATTTGGCAAAACAAACAGACTGGTTAGAATAAAATGCTTCTTTCAACAGAAGTTGTTTGATGCTTCCCAAAGTAACATTGCAGGCACATACAAGTAACAATATTCTGAATCTAAATGTAATTTTTGCCTTCAATGGTTTGCCATGTATACAGAATTTTCAATCCTCAACCACTGCCTCCATAGTTGTCCGTCAAACATCAGTTATCTTTCCAGAAAGTGAAACATCAAAGCAGAACATCTGCACTCTTGTTTGAATTCTTAATTGGATTGAGTTAGAAATATTCAAACACTTTGTTAGACTGCCATTTTTGTCATTCCCAGACTTGCCTGCATCATTTTGGCCCTTTTTTATGTCAGCCATCTCAGAATTTATCATGTCATTTAGGTATGAGCTTCCATTTGTGCTTTGAGTTTGCTTTCAAGTTCCATTTGAATAGTATTCCTCAAGGGTAAGCAGTAATAAAAGAGTCTTAATTTTAACCAATTAATCTTATCCTCGATTTTGAAGCAGTTTCAACAAAGTCGAAATCTGTGTAGGTTTTAGGTAACGTGGCACTTTTTTGATAGGAATCGGCCTGCTAGTTCTTTACATTTACACCTGCCATTGTAAACATGTCTACCTCACTTGTCTGAATCATGCCCTCAAAACTCTCAAACCAAGGCTGTTTCTCATTCACAGGGGCACTACAGTTTGGGTTGAATTGATTTGGAGTGTTAGCCTTTTGACAAAGACATTGTGGATTGAACAAAGCAACAAAGTGTCTACATAACAAAGATCTCAAAACCTTTTATGACTACATTTGGCAAGGCCATTCTTCAATATATTCAAAGTCAAATTCCTGCATTATTTGCATTTATTATGCAAGTACAATGCCCACAGGAAATAGTACAGAAGAGAACTTACTGCTACTGTCATTACTTGATGGTGAAAACGGCTTGGCAGTGAAAACGGCTGCTTGACACAAAAATCATATGTGATCCACTGTGCAAAAATGAGTCTCGAGTCACCGGAGCCACTTTTGAGTTTGATTTTGTATTAGATGATGAAAATGGATGTTGTATAGATGTTTAAATGTTGAGGATTTCTATTGCTTAAAGGGGTGTGCAAACGTCTTTTAAAGGCCTTTAACTCCAGAGTGGCTCTTGAGATATGTGACTCATTTTTGCTGAGCAAGCCACATATTGTCACAAGGAGTCAAAGCTTGAAACCAATCATAACACATGAACTCAAAGTATGGCAAGGTTATTACCTATTTGGCCAGAAGAATAGATGCTTCATTTTCATTTGTGGAGTTAGTGATCTGTCTTTCAGGGAAAATTTGGGAAAGTGGTGATAGAAATGTAAAATTCACAATTTCAGAAATGCAGAATACAGAGACTGCTGCCAACTAGCTGTTAACTACCGTGACCTGAAATATACAGATCAAAAACCTTTACACGACTGATTTTCAATCCTAGGAGCATCTTGCTCATAAGAAAGTTTCTGTTAGGATTGTAATGTCAGGTCCTTCAATTTTGGGTACTCACATTTGTATGCTTGTATTACTACTTCAATCTACTCTTTTTATTGAGTCCCCATTTGCATCAAATCCAATCCGCTAATTTTCCCTTTGACTATGGATCTATGCTTTGATCCATTGTCTGTCTTTCAGTTCCATTCTTGGATGTACACTTTCTGCCTTTCTGTTTCATCTTATCTTTTCTTCTGTGTTTAAAACTTTAGTCCCGAAAGGCTGTGCGAGAGCAGACAGGCAAAAGCAAGATGACAGGAAAGAAAAAGGAAAGTGCCAAGGCTGAAACCAAACAAAAAGACAAAAAAGAAGAGCTGTAGGCCTAATGGTAAGCAGAGTAGCACATCAAGGTTCTCTGAAAAAAAAACTGAGCCTGAATTTCATTTTCTTATCAAAGGTCAGATTCAGATATTGCCATCAAATGAGGTCCTGCATTGGCACCGACTAATTATGAGGTTTACAAATACACTGTACCCAGAATTCTTTGAATACTTGGCAAAAATATACATGTAGCCTACAACATGTCAAGAAAACATGTTCAGGTTATGTCCATAGTGGGTAATGCCTTTCCAAATATCCATTTAATATGTTACTATGGACCTTTTTCCTGTGATGTCACGATTGTGCTGGACCTGTGACGTGTTGTGATGGTAATGAGTGCATTGTGTTGTGATGGTAATCTACCTATTCAAGATAAACTAGTCAAACATGCAGGGTTCGCACGTGCGCTTGCACGTGGTTGAAGCTGCCCGTAGGAATATATATGCGATTACCGTAGCCAAGGCGGTCCTCACGTGGTGGCATTGTTTACAATTAGTCACACGGGCGAAACAGGTCTATATACATATAAGGCAAAATACCAGTGTATAACATTCCAGATTAACCCTCCTATGCTAAGATGCATTCTTGACACAATTATCATATCAATCAAAATCAGTCAAATTTCCCATAATTGTCTGTGTACTGGGGGAAATCAATTGGAAGGCATTTTTTGCTGTTTTTGACGGTTAGAACAGAAGGAGGGTTAATTCTAATTTAATGAAGCAGATTTTCCTCTTTGGAACTTTTTGACAAAGTTTTTTCAATTTTTTTCCCCCTAAATATAGACAAAATCTCTGAATTTTCCTGAGAGTCAGATCTTCTTCATTCATATATTTAATATCATTTGTATCCATTGTTATTGAAATACATTGAAATTCGTTGTGATCTTAAACAGTGAACAAGTCCATCCATCTTCCTAAACAAAACAACAAACAAACAAAACAAAACATGCCCATGTTGTTACTGGAAACCAAAAAGAGGAACCGTCTGACTTGACTTGGTTTGAATTCCTTGAGGGAGTGGGAGATGCCTTCCCCCAAAAACAGGTTCCTCCTGGTAGGAACAATACATGCATTGAGAGTGGCAAGTTCCCATTTGGGAATGGGCTTTGGGCCATGGCACAGTATGGCCCAGATACTGCCAGATGTGATTCCATTCTCTTCAGCAATGGACTCCTCACATTTCTAGACCTGATAAAAACTGGGATCCAGTTTTGAGACAGAACAATTCTTTCCAGAATTCTGAGGGGGGGAGCCAATACGGGGCATGGATTACATTGATGAAGCATTTCTCATGAGCATAAGAAAACGTGTTTCGTAGTATATTAATGACTGCATTAAAATGTTAGTCTTCCAGAATTTTGGCATCAAGTAAAAACGTACCTGATGTTTCAGCACTTGTCATAGAACTAGACGTCCAAAACCGTCATGTTTTTCAATATGTCCCATTCACTAACACACACACACACATTCTGACACCACCCGATCTACGTATGAAGTACTGCGTTCTGAATGGAAGGATAAGATTTTGGCCAGCCAGGAGCAGTTTTGGTGACACACCTCCTAGTCTGTGACTCAGTCTTGAATGTGATCATCCTTCCCATGAAATCACTTGTCAGTGACATTCTTGGCATTGATCATCAACCACAAAGAGTGCCATGGAAGTCATCAATGTAGTTACTTTCAGTGAAAGGCAGAATGTAGGCCAATGTATTCCCCCAACTCAAATTGTTATACTTCAGAGTAAAGAAAGCAGCACATGAGAAGGATCCTGTGTCAATTGTTTATGTGGCATTATAAAGTTCTTAGTGTTGCAGGATGAAGATGGTTTGCTGCATTTTTCCTGATGGTCAAGCTCTAGACTCTCTGAAGTGGGGAGGTGGTCATACCGGCAGAGACAAAAGAAATAATTAATCAAAGCTGTGGCTGGATGCCCTCTGCCCACTGCATCTTAAGCTTTTGAAAAAGCTTGGCTTAAGATGTTTGAATCGTCAATCAAATTCCGCAGGCAACTTTTGTAACTGTTTAAGTATCCATCTCCAGAAGTAGAAACAACCCTCAGGTCTGTGACTCGCATTCCTTGTTCACTTGTGTCTTTCTCATTTCTTGTGCTCTTAATTATGTTATTTCTTCCGCGCTGTGTTTGTAACCTTCCTATTTATAAGGTCTTTGTAAACTGGCATTTTCATTTTGAATGTAATGTGAGACTCATCTTCATTATTACACATGTAGAGATTTCACCCGCACTGCATCATGGGTAGATATCATTTCATGCTTGATTTCTTTAACTCCAGAACCTCTTGCTTTTTTTTTTTTTTCTAGAGATTTTTTTTTCTAGAGATTTCTGTTAAGAATTTTTTGTTCTTCTTACCAGAAGTCTAAATTTCCTTTCTTTTTTTCCCAAGTCTTTCGAGGCTATGAAGAGAAAGGTCATTTCCAAGACTGAACGAGAAATTGGTGACGAATTGTGATCAGCAATCAAAACGCAAGCATTCCTGATGATGTCAAAGAATACAGCAGCAGATTCACTGGGAAACATTTTGTCAATAGGTGGCGGCAGACACACTGGTTATAGTTGACACATTTATCAGGATGATAGGGGTTTTCCTATTCCTGGTTTCAGTTCAGCTTCTGATCTTAGACAAGCACCCCTCCCCCCTTTTCACAGTTATGGGGACCCAGCTTAACACAAGTCCATTTTCTGCTTCAAAAACATCAGATCCTGTGACACAACAAAGTTTAGAGTATTGCCCATGGTTTGAGTATGTGACGCTTGCAATAATTCTAGAGCTGATGTTCTTAAATGACCAAGGATTTGTTCTGGCCAAGCAGCGACAAATTTGTGTCATAAAAACACATCCAAGATCTTATACATGACTGAGACCGTTTTCGATATTGTGCCTTCATCTCCAGGTTTGGCTTTAAGTCAGATGCTAGAATCACTCAAACCAAACTAATGGACATATACTGACAAATTGATGCTTATGCTGCAGAGAATGGAGCTGTTTTAGGCTGCAGGATTTCAACTCGTGGGCTGATTCATGAACTTGAAGACCAAAGCTTAACAAAAATGCAGACTGACATTCTGAAAAACCTGCTAGAACTCTACCGATCAACCATCGCATTTGATAGAGATTAGATTGCTTATTCAAAATTGTGCTAGGAACTCTAAAATGAACATTATTGGGCAGTTGTTATTAAGCTGTGATCTTACTGGCCTTCTCTCTGCATTTTTTTTGGGGGGGAGGAATCTTGTGTGTTATAAATTTTTTTTGACTCAATTTTGTGTTGAATTTTGACTCCTCTTGATGACACAATTCTTTTTTCTTCTCAAAACATTTTTTAACATTATACAGTTACTTAGACTAGCCCACATTGGAACAAAATGGCAAGTGGCAGATCACTGGCTGTCATTTACTACTAAAATTTATATATCACCCCACTCTTATATGTGTATCATGGTTACAAGAAACCTTGTATTTTTTTTGGAAAGAGCCATTCAGCATTATCATCGTCTTTAAATGGTGACCTTTTTCAAAATTTGTGGACCCATCTATCCATCCACACTTTTTCGATCGAAAGAATTGACTTAGCGTTATACACAATTATTATTGTGCATAAGAACCCTCGTTCATTCACATGGGTATGCCTATGCATCCAGCATGCCCATGAGGTTCGTGGCACTGTTGATCCAAGTTTCCAAATGTTTAAAGATAAACAAGTTCACCGTACTTTATTATGGCACTCGAAAACTATGATGGTCGGATTCATAGTTCAATAGGGGGTCTGAAAGCTGTATCGTATGCGTAGGTAGGCACGTCGTTGTCAAACTAGAGACCAAATTTAAAAATGGTCTCTAGTAGTAATGAATAACAAAACAGCAGTGGTATCGACCACGGACGAATGCTCATAAAACCTGCTATAAAATGTAAAATCCGTAGGGTCTAAAATATACGAAGTGCATTTTAAATGTAACCCCTTCCGTTTATTGGGTCGCCAAACAAATCCACCCTTCCTCTTTGTACACTTGAAATTCCAAAGCAGCGCATTATGTGTATGAACCCGCCATGTGAGTTCAAACCGTGACAGATTTACGGAGTTGTGGTAGGCTACATTCATGTGGGAAATTATTATATACATAATGTAATCGTTCCTGTCGATCTTGCAAGGGCTGTCATAAAACGCTGTACAGTCTTTCCTGGATGTTTGTACATTGCGGAATTGCAAGAGGGACTTCGTGTGAACATGATACATTTGTAGTCGTGTGGTATTTTGCTATGACTTACTTCATATACATGTGCGTATACCAGTTTGAAAAATTACCCGCATGGAAACGCGAACGTGAACATCAGACCCAGAGGTCAAAGTTGCTGCAGATGCTAGGTGCATTGCGATAAGCCTGTCTAACGGAACTCCGGATTTAAAAAAAAGTGAAGGAAATAAAAAGCTGCCAAAAACAACCTGTCATTGTTCGAGGAAGTATGTCCCAAAACGATCGGGTGATGGCCTAAATTTTTGAATAAGAATAAGTATACTCGGGACCTCGCCTTTGTAAAACACATTTGTAGAATGTGTAATCGTGCTGAAATTGATGGGTCAAAATGTGATGAAAGTAAAATTTGGCAGTCGGGGCTGTAAATAAGCTGTGTTCATTCATTTATTCCAAATCCTGTTTCCACTGATATAAAATACAAGCACGTTTATATACATGTAAATGTTAAGTTTGGAACATTTTGGTTGATCCCACCTTAAAATTTGGTGGAGTATCGGTCTTCTTAAGAGTTTCAATATTCTGTTCCCTGCGTTAAGTTATTGTTTTTGTTCTTACGAATTTTTTTTTTTTAGAATGAAACCATCCGACACCCATCACTGAAATCAAAAATATACAATGCACATTATCCTTACATGTGTTCACGTACATCGCTGGTAATGTTGGTACCCGTATGTACTGAAACTAAGTCAAACCTTGGACGAAAAAGAACACGTGGTCAAAATTTCATACAGAACCAGTTTATCGAACAAGAATTTATACCGATGTGTGCCTTGCTTCCAGTGTGCTGCTTTAATGTTCACAGTCCTCAGATGCTTGGAAATATTCATATAAATGACCAACCTTGGCAAATCAGTTTTCTTCTCTTTTTTTTAATTCAAAACATTCCAATTATCTAATTGATGATTGATGCCTTTATAATGGTGACAGTATTTATCAGATTCAAATTACAATGTACATGTATATTTTTATAAATTTGAAAACTATGCCATATTGGTTCTACTGATTCTTAGCGACAGTATATAAACCGGACAGCAAAAGAAACTTGCCACTTCTGTCCAAGGCCACACATAAAACTTCACTCCATAAAAATAAACAATTTTTGTACACGGATACAAATGGGGTGAATTTTTATGTGTGGCCTTTGACAGAAGTGGCAAGTTTCTTTTGCTGTCTACTGTAGAGAAATGTAATATCTTTATCTGATTTGCTCATATTAGTATGCAAGTGCATTAATTCAATTACTAGCTTTATTGTTAATTACAATTTTTAGTACATTTCAATAAAGGGAGTGATTTTAATCAAATGTGTCTCCTTCAACGCCCAACCTTAATTCGATAACAAAAAATCCTGACATTAACGAGAACTTTTTGCTCCAAGATCGCCAGTCGAACTGATCTTGTAGTTGTTCAGCAACTTCATAATTTACAGCTGTATGAAAACATTAACATGTCCCCCTTTGTAAATGCAGCAAAAAATGAAAAGGCCTATGTTTCTGGTCAAATTCTGCTGGAAACCAGTCGTCCCTGCATTGAGTTTGAAAACCTTTTGTCTACGAAGAACGTTCCACCGTTACGTCAGGTTGGCGTAGTGGTTCTTTCCTCGCCTTTCACCTCTGCAGTCCGGGTTCGAATCCCAGCTCGGTCCGCATGTGGATAGGGTTTTCAATCCCTACTTGCTTCTGTCGGTTTTACCCAGAATATTCCTCTGGGGTTTTCTTCCTTCGTCTACAACTGTAACTGCTTGTCTCCCCCCTTCCAGACTCGGTTTCGCATTTCATTGTTTGTGTACTTTATAAAATATGTGTCAAGGCGTTCGATATATTGAATTGTTGAATGCGGGTTGGAAAAAGGTTTGATTAATGCAGACGTCATGTTAAACGCTTCTCTGTCGTAATTCGTGTCATACCGTACAAAACAAGTGTCATTTACGAATGACGACAATTATAATGGGCTTAGTTTTACCTTGGGCTGTACCTCTGTGAATCTCATCATGCTGTAAGTTTCACAATAGAAAGGGGAAACCGTACACGAAACTAGAGTCAATGACGTGATGGAATATTCTCTAGATATGATAAAGTATTTCCATCTTGAATATTTAGCCTGCATCGCTGAGCACAGCAGGCACTAGGTCCAGGGTTGGACACGTCAGCACTGTAGGCCAGCTCAATTACATCTTCAGACGGCGGTGTTATCGAGGTATGCCATACAACATGGCCGTGTATAATGTCGCATATTGCATTTTCAAAAAAAAAAAAATCCCCTGTGCGTTCATAATGACCATCATTATTATAATGCGGGTAATATTCCCCACCCACAAGAAGTAGGTTTTATCCTTTGTCTTAAAAGACAATAGCTCAGTGTTACTTGTTGCCAGTACAAAAACCAATCCGGATAATTGCACGAAGCTCGATTTTTTTTTTCTGATACTGCGAAGTAGTGAGTTTACTTGGTGCCGTTAGCACAATTCTAAGCACCTCCCTGAAAATGTACTGTATCCACATTCAATTCTAAAGGCTCCTTGCAACAGATGTACTGTCCATGTTGAATTGTACCCTTAAACACAGGACGACTAAGCCTTGGAGTGTTCTACCCTTTTTTTAAAGCGTTGTGGTCAGTGTGTTTCAATTTTGACTAAAAATTCAACTGATAGTGGTAAGTGTTGGTCCCTCCATCCAAGTTTAAGACACATCCTTTAAGAACGAACAAAACACGAAAAGAATCGGCTCAGTTTAAATACAATCTGCTATTCAAATACTTGTATGACTTTACTGAAATGACCGAGTTGCAGTGAGGTAACAATTTCTCAACGTGGGTGTAATCCCCAATCTAATTTTACGGCGTAAACCTTTTACATGACATCGAGAAGAAATACAGAGATGAGTTGAGTAATTATTGCGTATTTGTCCAATAACTACTAGTACAGGCGGGTCATTCTATAAATTAGGGGTCCAAGTTTTTTCGTTGTCCCCGTCTAACATACAATTTTGTAAGTTCAAAATACCTTCTCTAGTTTCAAGGGGTGATGAATTAATGCAAATTACCTGTCAAACAAATACAAATAGTTTTAAATCAATTTCAGTGATATTTCCATGTCAAATTACTCAGGTCAGATGTAACGGAAACAAAAATGTCATGTTTGGACAGGACCCTGATTTTACAGATTGATCGATACGTGACTGGGATCGGTGGGTCTGAAATTAATCAATTTTAGCCTCGTAAAAAAAAGTTGATCATCGCGCTAACAACCAATGGTTGGGTACAAAAAATGGAGGAGATCGAAGCGTTTCAGATGCGTTTGTTACATCCGATACACGTACCGGTAATTTTGCTGGATTTTTTCGATGTAACACGAAGGGCAAATGCCTTCCGCGCAACTTTGCGTAGCAGAGTGAGCAGCAACCTTAGAAACTACATCATGGGCGTAAATCCCGGGGGATGGGGTCAATATTCCCTCACTTTTGGAAGGGGGTGGGGGATGGGCTATTGAATCCCCCCCCCCTTTGACTTCTTGTGGATTGTGAAGCATTTGTCCAACTTCCAACGACTAAAATGCATTCAATATCACTTAGACTGGGGAAAACAATTTCAACAAGCCATGAATATGCCATTCTGAATACAATGTACGTATTACAGATTTGCACATGTATTAATAACATCGACCTCTATGTAGAGTCACATTGTGTTCCCCCCCCATTCCAGGGACAAACTTACGCCACTGAACTACATGTATATTTGTCACTGCCTAGCTGAATGTGTAGGCCTACCTCAGTAAATATACGCAGCGTGCAGGTCAATAAAAAAGGCTCTTTTTCAATAAAGGGAAAAAGTCGTTTCAAAACCTCTTAAGGTTGAGAAAATGGAAATGAAAATAAAAGTTTACCGGTACAGTTTTGAGTGTGGCACATTACACTAGTAATTTGCATTTACATGTTGTGCATAGTAGCTATCTCTCCGGTAACTGTCTTTTGAGAGAGAGCACAAAAAGTCTACTGGTGTGTTTTTCGGTGGAACAACAGCTCTTACTGCAACATGGTCGTCATGCACAACCTCTATTAATTTGCCCTTGCTTGGTTGACGTTTTCCAGCGGACAACTTGATTTGGGGGACAGCAAGATCCCGTTACGCGTGTACACAGAATAATCCCGACGCTCCGGTATCATATCTTTTTTTTTACCTCGGAGGGCGTGCATAGATCTGAAAGCAATAAGGACCAAATGTTAAATGCCAGAATCCTAATAACAGAGAGCCCTCAGATTAGGGATTTGTTTTAACTCAAGTCCTCTCAACGATTCATACATTCATGTACTTTTGTACCTTTTAAACGAGATCAAAGCACACCATCCAGAAAACTCCGAGGTTCTCAGTTCCCCAAATAAATATTTTTCAGAAATTTCATCCACTTTATATCTAATATACCGAAGCAATACCCTGCTGTTGCTTAATGTTTTAGAATAAAAAAATAAACGAATAACGATTACCATATTGTTTACGTACATGTACACTATCAATGACCTGTATCGTACACTGTTTCACAGCTGGCCTTCCTTTTCACTTTTCTTTTTTCTCTTTACGTGTGAGATGTTTAGGGTACAAAGAAATAAAGAAAATGGCTATATGACCCAATCTCTTTTTTAATTTAATATTTTGGGTTTAAATAGAGTCCAAGAGTTGAATCACACCCATAGGCAATCGCACTGGAATTTATTGAGAGGCAAAAATGGTTATGGGTGAATGGGCGGTGTCAGAAGCTTGAAGGAATCCAGGACTCGATGCATTTTACTCAGATAGTCCCACACACTTATCACTTTGCTATCCAGGCCTTTTCGGTGATGCCCAATACCCGTGGCTATTCCCCCCGAAAAAGCTTTCAAATAATCTCTAGTTCTCCTCAGCCTCTTGAATTGCTCGAAAGAATTGTGAGCTGTGGGGGTTACCCCGAGTCGTTTCAAGACGATGCCGACGAAGACATCGTCCCAGGGAAGAAATCGAACGTGTAGGGAGGCCTCAAAAATCCGCCGAGCCACGTCGTTGGACATAACGTAGCATGCTCCATTAAGGAACGGCGGATAAGTGGCCTCTGGGTACATTTCTGGCGGTGTGTACCATTTGATGTTAACCTTGTCTTCAGGGTTCCTCATCGGCTTGTCTGTAGGCTTTAGGTGTCCCTGGGCAAGGTTAGTGCTACTCGAGTTCTCGAGGTGCTCGATCAAGTTGTGCAAGTTCAGGTGCATGTCAGCATCAATGCTGGCAACATAGCCAGCGTCTGGGCAGTGAGTGGCGATCCACCTCCATCCCATCATGTTCTTGACGGTCAGGTTGCGGTAAGTGTCCAGAAAGTTCTCCTGGATGAGATCATGGTGGATGGCATCCTCCATCTGGAGCTTGTCTTGCTCAAGAATCGTCGCCGGCTGCCCAACCAGGAACATGGTCACAACATGCCGGCCCCTCAGTTGGCGGACTCCGCCCCAGGTCCGGCGAATCTGCATCCGATCCAGGCTTTCGTCCGTGGCACACTTGACCAGTAAGACAAGGAAGACATCGGCGCTGGAGTTACTCCTTCCGACCCGGCAGGCGTCAGAGTTAGTGATGGTGAAATCGTAGGGGTGCGGGTTAATCACATCGTCACTGAATAAAGGTATCGTATTGGCTGGAACAGTCGGTCCTACTGCCACCTTGGTTGCCTTCTTATCGTCCTCTTTCCCAGTCTTAGTATCCTCCTCAACCTTGTCGACATTTCCTTGTGGTTTCCCTTTATTAGCCTCGGTCTCCGTTTTGGAGAACAACCGGACAACACTAGACCCACCATGTTGTTGTCTCAACACAAGGCTGTTTTTGCAGTCCATATTCAGAAATATCAGTACGCGAGCAAGGCTGATAAAACAGAACCCGATGGTGCACAGGACAAAAAGCCGTTTCAGCTGCCATTTTAACATGCGTCTCATGGCTGTGGCATACAATAATTATGACATCCAAATCTTATCCACCCTAATGCTGTCGGTGTCAGACACAGTCACGCAAACCTCGTGAACGCGACATGATTGATCCACCACGTGTACACATACATTGTCCCGGTGTTAATTCCTCGGCCATCAGTCTATCGTTAATACAATAATAGTCCTGGCTTCTATTGTTGAACTTCTACAATTTCAATCTGAAGAAGAAACAGAAAATGGTCAGTCATCAGTCCACCTTATCAACACATAGGCAGGGCAGTGGTCAAATAAATAGAAAAGGTACCCGCATTTTGTAACAATGTAGCACATCAGTACTATGCATGTGCACGTATATCTACATGTACATCTATATGTACCTACCATAGGCGTTTGTTGTAATAACCGCACGACCAAACTGGCACTGCCTTCCATCATACGCAGGAGTTCTTTTTCCGTTACGGCAGGGTATCATGATGATCCGTCGACAAGCACACTACCCTGATATCCTTTCCACTGCACGCCGCCATGTCTGTGGCGGAGAGAAGGTCACTACCATTATCCCTGCTTACAGAAATTTACAACGGTTGTGGGAAACCGCACCTGCTGTGACCGTTTAACCACGTCCCAGCCTGCAATTGTTGGGCATGCTGTGGACTATGCGCGAAGTTCCGCTTCGAGCAATGTGGACGTGCAACGTGCAGTTAGTGCACAGGGATTAGCATTCCACGAACTACCTCAAACCCCGTGTTCACACATTCGCGTATGGCATGTACATGTACACATGTACATGTACACTGTCAGCGTACGTCAGTGTGCATAATAATGCATCGTGCATAGAAGGCATCTTATATGGTATGCGTAACCCATTGACGGCATGGCATTTGTAACAATTGACTCTATCGCCAAGGTTATCGGACAATTCCTACAATTGCATAACACCATAGGTTGATTATTATCTCCACTGGAAGAATAGTGCGTCGACCTATGTACATGTATTTGGCGTTTCATCAATGACCTTTAGGCCTAGACCCAGGTCTACGGTGGCTGATCTCCGTCAGGAATACACTTTTTATTTTACGGCATTATAATGCCATAAACCAGGGCGTTATAACACCGTATTAGGGCGCTATAACGCCGTAGAACAAAAAGTGTATTCCTGGCGGAGATCAGCCACCGTACAAGTCAGATAGTACATCATGACCAAACATGTCGCCTATAGTAACAAGAAAATACTATTGTAAGGCTAATTGAAATTAACAACGGGCAATACACATAACGAACAGGAAAATTTTAATTTCAGATTTAAAAATCAGGTTTTACTTTGGTAGGCCCACTGAAATTTCTGTACTCGAAGACTGCTTTCATCTTTAAATGATTATTGTTGGACAACTGACGATTGTATCCTTTCGTGCATGGAGATCAGTGATTGGCAGATCAGAAGGTGGATTAGGGCAAATTTGCTTTTGTTATTGAATTGAGAACACTGACAGCCTAAAAGGTAGTTTGGGAACCCATGTCCCTTCTAAAAACGTGTGAAGCCCCCAAATTTAGCGTAACCTCTAAGACAGAGCATGAAATTAAAAGGTTATTTGAAGAAATCTGCCCTCCCAGAAATGCTCCCCAAAAGTTAGGCCTCATCACCTCTGGTTTAATGAAGATATGCTCAGATAACATAATTTTTATGATATTGCTGAGTAACGAATGAATACTAACTAAGCTGCCGTAATCATGCAGTGATGTGTACATGTGCGTCACGTGAATATTTTGGCGGCCGTGAGCATGATCGTCGTGTCTCTCATCATGTGTAATCTCATCATCTCATCATGTGTAAGAATTAAAGCAGCTCTGCAGATTGGCCTTTTCATCTTAGAAAAATCGCGCGAAATGTTTTAGTTACCAATTTGACTGTATTCACAAATCGGCCATGTTGAATTGAAAGCGATATTAACCTTTTATTTTGAGACCCTAAGATTAGAAAATGAGGGCAATAGTCATGTACATTACAGATTAATTTCATAACTATAATTAATAACTTTACATTTGTGATTACTCATATCAAAATGTTTTAAGTAACTTTAAAAAGAAAGGGCAAGTGAGGCATGAAACCCGAAATAACCTGGCACCACCCTATGTGACAGATTACATTATAAACTAAGACGGATTCGAGCCAGGGAACACGATCCAAAATGGCTTCCTTGTGATGAAGGCTCATTGTCCAAACACATTTTCTGAAATGGGACGGATGTATCCATTCATGGCTGCACAGATATGGATACCAATTACTCTTCTACTTAAAACATTTTCCATGCTTCGTTACATTAATGCAGATGGGAAGATAATTATATTTATTCTAGGTCTTGGGTTTGGGGCAATTTTTTTTATTTGCTTTCAATGGCGCTTTCAATTCGTAACATATTTAACAATTGGTAACATGTCTCCAGGGAGCAAATCCCCCTTAATTTACCACAGCCAGTCTCCACTTTTTTCCCACTTTGTAAATACCCCACACTACGTTGCCATTTTCAAGTTTCTTGAAATCGCCGGCATTTTAGAAACTGTACCACCCCTTTTCTTTCGGGTCGGGAGTATTATTGGACCGGCGTTTTTCAGTGCAAATTCCCATAAGTGCTCCGTGAACCCAAGATTTCGATACATCACTGACCTTCGCTCTGTCATTCGTTTTATTACATTTTCCACTGGCCAACTGAACAAAACATACAGCATCAACAATCATTCTTAAAATCACAGCATACAAAATAAAGCAATAAAAGTAAAGAATCCAAATCCAGAATAAAAGCAAAATAAGCTACACTCAGGGTCATCCTTCAGAACACACGGGTCGAAAAAGTCACGTAAATAAACAACCAAAGCAAACAGTACCTTTTAAGAGCACCATGATATAGTTTTAAGACTTGCAAAGATGACAGACAACCCAAACCCACTTTATAGCTATCATGAAGCACAAGACAGACGGCAGCCTTGTGAAAACAAGCACAACTTGTGGAGCATACTGCCGGTGACGAGATTACAGTTTCGTTGGGGGAATATCAGACTGTACAGTCAGACTGTTTCTTTCAAACTAAAAATGAGTTATAGCTTGCATGAATTATTTGCCACCTGCGAGGAACCACAGTGGATGGATAAATATAACATGCTTTATAATTCCGATGAATAATACATGTAGAGAATGCTTCCTTTAGAACCCTCAGTAAATTACACACGGGCGCCTATTGTAAATGATCGATGCCGTGTATGGAAACATACTCGACACTCATATCAATCCTATTAGCTGGTTCTATAAAAAGGCACCTGCTCACCATACAGCTACAGCCTTTTCTGTGGGGGGGGTGTCAGTTGCCAATTCTGTGAAACTGGCAAGCTCTAGCCATAGAAAATATTTAATGCATGTCATCACGGAAACACGCATTTCACTAATCGGACTTTAAGCCCAATAGCCATGGCGGCAAAAACTCATGCATCTGTTCTTCCGGGGGGTGGTGGGTGTGCAGATAAATTCGTTCCCGTTGTTTCTTTCTGTAAATGTGTGAGGACATTTGCTGCAGTGTGGAGTTCGTTCTTCAAAATCCATTGAGCGCCCTTGAAAAAAATAAAATGTGCAAAGTAATTACATGGAGAGCCTGCATCGCGCACGCAGCCTTTAGCCATGCACGATCGCAGCACGGACTGATCATGGCGAGTTTTAATTAATGAGAGCTGTGTTATACTTATTTATAGCTGCTTGGAGCACGATGAAAGGAACATGGAAGGTTGACAATATAAAACATACAACCTGCAGCCACACAATGGAAGGGAAAATAAAATGAGGTCAGAGGATCTCTGCCAATATTGCGGCTTTTATGGTGCGGATATGGGTTTGAAAACCCGTGTGTCACACCACACAATGGTTCAGGCAACGAATGGGAAAATGTTCGAGGCAACGTCTCGGCTGCTCAACCGTGATTCGATTTGCGTCTACGCATGCGCGGGCCGTTCATAATGATTGTTGTTTTATTCCGATTTCTCCATTTCTTTACCAAAAACCTTCTCATCCACTCACCGATCAATCCTAATTTCCGATCTTTAAAATGCCTATAACAATTATGTAGGATACCTGTGCTGGCTCCCTTCAGGTCGCAGTACGTTTGTTTATTACCCAGATGTGTAAATGGGCCTAGAATTTTTTGCATTGCATGGAGGTATAGGAAACATTGTATCATTACTACGTAATGATATAGAGATAGTTTGTTGAATTCCCATCCGAAGGACCATTGCTTCGATCTGGTTTAAAGAGTGAGGTACATTCTAACTTGCGACACCGCGCCACATCAAGATGAAACCAGGGCGGAACCAAAACTGTCGTGGGGGTGAGAATTGTTGAATGTTACCTTTCTGGGGGCGAGGCTGAATTTAGCGGTTTTTTATATGTATTAGGAAGGAAAAATCCCATCTTCTTATTTTTCAAAAACTTAAACAAAAACAATTTGCTCCTTGAGAAATGCGGCTCCCCCCTCTCACTTGACCCCTCCTCGATCCACCATTGAATTCACATGTAGTGGAAAATCTTATTAATTAAGCATTAGGCGAAAGGTTTTCCACATGTGTTTGCCAATTAAGTTTTGTCTCTAGTTAATAATATTGTGTTGTTGTTGTTGTTGTTTTTTCCAGAACGAAAGACTTGGAGAACGTTATACCCTTACGCTAAAAACTACGGTCTAGAATGATGTTAAACATTTGGTTAAAGTCTACAATAAACTTGTATTATGCTGGAAATCAAGCCATTTCCAGACAGCCACCTGGCGAGCTCTATCCCACGCAATGATCTACAGAGTGCTTGCGTTTCAGGAGTCGGAGTGATTGGGAAGGGTGTGGGAGACGAGAAAAAAAAACGCTCATTGTGCCTCTTGCCCAATCAATGACCCAAATACAGCTTCGTAGAAAATAATCAAAACACACTTGTACACTATAATGAGTTCGTCTGGAGCGCACAACATTTAATGGTTGTGGTTTATGAAAGAACCTTCCAAAAATTGGCACGAAGAAAAACGTAGGCCTACTTCAGGCGGGTATTGTTGGGTATACATAAGACCGGTTCACGCTTCAGGGGAGGGAGAAAGTGAAGCAAATTTAATGTCAAAGAAAAATTTGCAGCGGAATTTGCTGAACAACTTTTGTAAATTCGCAGCAGGAGTCATGATCCAATTTCGTCACAATTTCGCGGTCGCCCTCACAAACAAAACCTTTCAGAATACTCCCAGAAAAATCTATCCTGATCCTGAAGGATAAATCTTGTAGGATTTCTACAGAACTGTTTGCATAAGGGCGTATTATGTATGAAGCAGAAAAGCAGAATCCGGAAAGCAGTTCCGGTTTTACATCGTGAGGGAGACAAATAGCAAATGCTATATGGGGCTGGAAGATCATTCTAATCATTTCATTTTTGTTTATGCTGCCTGTTTGTTAATCAAAGATAATTCGTGATAAATGGAATGTTCTGTGCTATGCCTACGCATTCCAAATCAACTCTATTCGTAACGCTACCACGCTTTTATCCGCTAATTACAGTTCTGGGAAACAAGCTTTGTTTCATAATTTCAAAGGGGCCGTCACATCCATAGCTATAGATGTGTTGGTACCGATCCCCAGTACAACCACCCTCTCTTAATTTACTTTATTCTCAACTCAGTGAAGCAAATACAACCACAGCCTCTTACACGTATGAAACTCGCCCTTGTCATGGATTATGAACGGCCCCATCCCTATTTTATAAGGATTTTGAACATTGTTATGCAATAACCCTTTTTACTCTTCTCGGTAAATTTGTAATTGTTGGTTTTCTTATGTTTTTAGTTTTTATTTATTGCATATTTCTTAATTTCTATTTTACTATTATCAGAGTCTTTTAATTCACAGAATTGGATATCTCTGTTATTCAGCGTCTGGCCAAAGATCGTATAACGCCGCGTAGCGGCGCAAGATGGGGAACTTCACCATGGATACGCGTAAAACGCTGTTATCACATGGGCGCCATTCTGGTTGGACTACGCCTGCGCAGTGCATGTTAATGCGCAAGCGCAGGCGCCGCGACATGCGCGCACACACACGCACACTAACTTTCACACTCGAATGGCGCCCATGGTGGTAACACCTTTATGGCAGAATTACCCATCTTGCGCGGCGCGGCGCGGCGCTATTTATATAATCTTTGCGTCTGGCTAGGCTGCGAACGGGATTTTAATATTACCATAATAATAAAAAACTAACACGCGCGTATTGTTAAACGCTAAAACATGTGCGACACCACAAACGTCATGCGTATGTTTATTCCAAACGCGCAGTAAAACATTCCTTTTGGCATCCCCTCATACCATTTAAAGAAACATTCTTAAAAGCCTTCAGCCCTGCCAATTTGCTTGCTAATTTCTCTATAGGCCAGGTTGTGTCATCTGTTTTATGACGGTTGAAGTCACATGCGTCATATGGTCATCGTATCGTCGACCAGTCAGGATAAAATGTTATAATTTGTTCCCGTGATCCCAAATTTGTGGACAGAAAACAGGTATGCAGGCCTAGGCCTATCTTATCTTTTGTATGTAGGTCTACACCGTAGGCTATGGAATTCCATCAAGTCATCCATTCAGAGCTCAAGCAGCACCAATATTTTCAAAACCAAGTATAAAGACTTCCTTATCTCTGTATACCAAATACTTTAGCTATACCTGTTTCCGATCATGTGTCTCCTTATTACATGTATCTCTTATGCTTCGTAGCTGAGTTATCGTATTTTGTTTTTATTATTCCACTCTTCATTCCAGTCCTCACTCATAAATTCAGTGATCTTTCAGTTTCTATTTTCATCGTAATTTTATTGGTCTCGATCTATATCTAAATTTGATTCACTTTTAATTCTTTACAGCCAGTTTATATGCTTTTCCTTCGTTCGGTGTTCTTTTTGTTATATTACCAGTAAAACCACTGCATTTTGTATATTACAAGGGGTCCCATACTTAAGTCTCGCTTCTTATGAGATCCCTCCACGTTCTGTAGTCATCATTAATCATTATACACCTGTATATGAACTATTCATTTTCCCTTGACTTCTGAAGTGGAAACAAAAGTAAATTAAAGTAAAAGTAAAGTTAAAAGGAAAGTATGCCAAGGTCATATTCTTGCTCCAAATCAATAGGAAAATGTTAAACGCAGTCCCATGTTTGGTTAAAAACCTTCCAAACCTTACGTTTACGAACTTATTGCCATAAAACGTATGTGTCTTTAACGGCCCAAAGTGGTGAGAAATTCATCAAATTACCCTTCAATCGTTCAACCGTGTCAGGACTAGCCTCCTCGAGGCTGCAAAGGTAACTTTGGCAGATACAGTCCGTGTTAGAATTAAGCTATGAGTAGAGCAACAATAGAGCCTGGGTGTTTCATAAGTAATAACTGCAGAACCGTCCTCATTTTGTTTCATCTCATCCAAGGCAAAACATCCTATGTCCATCAACCTGACAGAGCTACATTGAATAAACATAACTCTATTAATCACTGACCCTCCACACCCTCAAAACATTTTTGACTGATTGATTTTTACATTTTTCTGTTCAAGGTTTCAGTTTTCCATTCTAAATGACTGACATTGTATGCTGTGCGTGAGTGATGGCAATGCAGGCTGTTGACGTGTTTGCTCCTGGCTGGATTTCCAACCCAGGTGATCGATATCTATATTAAATGTAGCAATTGCCTCTTAACTATTTTTGTTCTAATTAACCTAATTACATGTATTGCCTGAGTAACATTATTCAAGTTTAATTGCCTGTTTATTTTAGTACCAACAAGTGAGCGGCATTACGGAAATGAATAAATATTAGAAACATCTAGGGGAGCCTAATTGTCAGTGTATCGTATCGTAATTGGAAAAGATCGTTCTGGGGAAAAGCGATGCATTGTAGGCCTACATTTCTCGTTTTCAAAACTGTTCGTACACAAGTAAAATGTCTTAAGCTGGCCAAACTTTTGGTTTGTGATCGTCATTAATTAAGGAATGGAAGCTATATTCTCAAATGCTTTGGATGGGAACAAAAATAAAAGTTTAATAACAGTTAGTTTAATTCTTCTCTGTGTGCAAGATGTATTTTGCACAAAAAGCATCGTAGTCACTGATTGTCATAATCTCAATTCCTCATCTCTCTGGTCTTTAAAGTATACCCTTCATTTCGGTTGAATTCCCACACTCACTTGGGATTTGTTGTCTGCTTCTAAAATAGTGTCTATCCCAAAATCCTCATCTACCTCATACGCCGGGCGCCTCGTGCAACAGTTTGAGGGAAGTACGAACAACAACGCGCAAACTGCCCAACAAAGAGACCAGCAACTACTCAAGAAAACTTCACTCAAGTGTGCGCGAACCGCCGCTACAAAAGCCCATCCGTATTGTAAAGGTATACGTGGTAGCTGTAGAGATTCATTCGCGTTTACAGTGTTATGGTCAAAAGTTTACACGTCAGCTGAATTGCAATTTTTAATATTCATACTGTTTATTTGCCTGGCAACCATTCCAAATCTGATCGATCGTCATATCTTTACATTTATTTAACAGGTTCGTGTTAATGGAGTGAATGTACTGGCTGTCAACTACACAAAAGGAATTGTTATCAAGAATCGGCATACTCTTAAAAGTTATTTTTTGGAAAGTGTATGTAAACTTTGGACCACAACTGTGTGTCTACATAGTTGTCAAAATGAACATGGTGTATTCATGCAGAGTGACTTATTTATTCGTGCAAAGTTCAAATAAGAACACCCAGCGATACACGAGATTCGAGTTGGCTTTGTTCGCAAGCTGCAAACCGGTTGATCGGTTTACATGTATTACGCGCACTCAGCAGACGGACAATGGGGCTATGCGCTAATCATTCAACACGACTTTGACTTGGAAAAAGATTCGTAGGAAATAGACCTACCAATAAGCCACTTTCCAGGAAACAATAAAACATTCCTACAGCGAAGCGACCCGCTTCTGCAGCGGGAAGTCAAGGGACATGGAATCGAAGTTGTGTCGTTCTCGTAGCAAACCCCGCTAAAAATGAGCAGAGAGAACATGCGTAGCTTGCTACTCATTAAACCACATTATACACATAATTATTAAAATAATGTTTGTAATCAATGTTTGTCGTGGGCACTGAATCCAGCAGACCTTATCAAGGAAGAGACAGCTGTGTGTACAGCAGTCGAGTGTGGAGCAAATAATCGGCTCTCCAACTGGGATGTAGTGAGTTGCCATGACGACCATGACGAAATTCATCCCAGACGGGAGATTATGTCGTCTTGTGAGGCATTTCAGCCGACTTGGACGAGACAAGGGGAGCCACCAGATTGTGACAACGGTCAAGGTTGGTTTATTACAGCTAAGGACGAGGTTTTATTTTCCGTTGCAAAATAAAATCATGTCCCATTTAGGTTGATTACAAGATCAGCCAATGAAGCGACTAGTGAGAATATTTAATTAATGCAGTTTCAATATTCTCACCGTCCCAGTTTTGTATTTATGTAGAATTTCTCGCCGTTCCCGATTGTGCATTGATCCATCTGCAGTCCTGATATTTACGTCCCTATCTTGTATTCTCCAACTCTGACCCCTAGGCTTCGTTAGTTTCTTATTGAATCCGTGTGTTTTTTTCTGGGCGAATTTTTATTCGCAGATTTGTTATTCGTTTTTGCTTACAATAATTACTTTCAAAGATAAAGCTTTCGAAGTTGGGAAAGAAAAACCTAGATCAAGTATGCACCTGCCGCCAGTTTAACTTTGTTCCATCAACTCTGGATTAAACCTTAAAACTGGCTGGGTAAAAACCGTATCAACTTCCCCTTTTTTAGAACCAAGGGACGATGGCAGTAAGATAGAGACGTCTGAGGAGAAGAAAGGACAGAAATCCAAGGCAGTTAAAGCCTGGAAGAGGCAATTGAATGGCCTCAAAGATAAAGATGTGGACACTTCGGAGACATTTGTGCCAACCTGGATGAAGAAGACAGCGCCATCATGTGAGCTTTCTTTACTACTGCCACTCCCAGCTTGCACTCTTTATTTAAGACAGGGAATGTGTATCAACTCTGTTGCTTACAAATTATGAGCATCAAGGAAGTAGGCATGAGTTTGTTAGGATTCGAACGAGAACGAATTAAACAGTCTCAATGACTTTTGTAGTTCAAAGACGATGCTGAAATCAATGGTAAATCGGGATTAATGTTCGACTTCGCCAAGTTACATGTGAGCTCAATACATACATTTGGAGAATGCGATATGGTTTCGAGAGCCAAGCTTTTAACTTCACCAATTGAGACCACTTTTGAAATCCTTCGAGTATAAAGTCAAACTACTGATTATGAGAAAGGAACAACACACCAGTCCATATACTCATGACGTGAGATATTTTTTTGTAGATAGATTCATTGCAAATTGCTTTTTTCCCCCCAAATAGCCCATGATGAGAATGACAGAGAAAAACACGCGCCCAGGGTCTTATGTGCCACCGGTGCAAGCAATGTCGCCAGGACTACAGATGCATCCGCCTTTAACAGGAGATCAAACATGTTGGACACCGTTTTATCAGACGAAGAATCCCAGCACAGATTGCCCAAGTCATATACTGAAGTGCAAGATATGGGAAGATCTAATATATATACCGAGGCAAAAACACTGAAAATTGATGCACAATGCAAGAAGGCGAACACGTGCGCCTTAGGCAGTTGCCCAAGCAATGGTATCCACAGTGGGAAAGAGATCAGTTCCCTGGACGAGATGACAGAACAACAGGATGAACGTCTACAGTCGGATTTTCATGGTCATTTTCGGGTTCACGTCACAGGTGATGCACTTTCCAAATCCTTCTCTGACTGCGCCAACATGTCATCTGAGAGCCAGCTGAACAGGTTAATTCTACAAGTTCTGCTGACTGCTGCCGTTTCGGTATTTGTGAGGGACATCATCGAGGAAAGCCTCATAGAACTCGAGGATGAAATGCTGATGGCTTCCGCATTCGAGACTCTAGCTAACTTGGATCTTTCAAACCAACCATCTGATGATGGGAACTCCTTACAGAGCGACAGTTTGAGTGACGGTTGTCAGGACCAGAGTTGGTTGGGCTATGACGTGGAGTGGTCGCCAGCCGGCTCCACTGGATCTGTGGAGGACCTGATATCGAATGAGACACCCCCTTGGGACTTGGTAGAAGCTGTCCTAGGTGAGGAGCAGCTTATTCATGCTTGTCTCCAGAACGATGCTCAGGAGCACGGCTATGCGGCGTCTGTAGCCGTCATGGACGGCGGGAAGGAAGATGGACTCATGGCGGATATGATATTGCTCTGTACTCCGGAAGGGGACAGCTTTACCGTGTCTGGGGACTCTAGCCTGTCCCCAACGACAGGGCTTGACGATGGCGTCCTCATCAACGACAACGATTGTGGTGACAGGGAACGTACAGATGACAAAGACGTGGAGCTGTGAGGAGTCTTCAGTGATGTACCTGGAAGCCTGAGACCTGAAAATCACAAGAGGGTCACACATAATTATTTAGAATGCAAGCAGAATTATCATCGGCCTAAAATGTTTGGTTGTGTAATTAAATGACTTTGACGGGATAATTTTGCAATGCAATAGCTAGGCCACTTTCAAATGTGCCGGCAATTAATAAGGAAGCTGAAGAAACAGCTAGACCCATATGAATGTATGATTCCCGTCAGTTTCATGAAATAGACCAATGTTGGAGGCTGTATGCACTAATGTTGGCCGGTTCCACAGTTGATAGCTTTACGACTGACGAAGTAAACAACAAAATACCAACATGAATGTAATCGCTGGCAGGAACCCAGAGAGGGCGCTATAGCTGTTTTGTAAAATGTTCTTTTATAGATTCAGACTAATACACCCAGGCATTAATTTTTGTGTTGCGATTAATTAAACCTTAATAATGATCGAGCTCCGTTTGTCGTGCATATTCGGTTCAGTTGTGTCCCGTCTGGTACGTGTAATGTAATTCTGTTGATTTTATTAATATCACTGTGATTTTTGGTTTTGATTCAAGCTTAGTTTGGTTTTCCAGTCCAATTTGATTGGCAAAAAATTGTTCAGTTTAACGCAAGGCCCATTTATTTTCGTTTTAATTGCTCACAATTTAATATCAGCATTCGAACATCAAAAAGTATCATTTTGTTTAGTTACATTAGTTTTTGTTTGTTAAATAAATTTAGCTAAATTAATAATAGTCGTGTCGTTGATTCAATTCGTCGGAAGCCTTGGGAAGACATTGATCAAAAACTTATTTATATCAACAGTTTCAACGTGGTACATTTAAATTTCGTTTCGTTGGCACAGTGTGCTTCATGACTGTTATATCATAGCGACCCCCCCAACAAAAACAAAATAGAAGGTATTTGTGAATACATAGACTGGGAAAAGAAAAAACAAACAAACAAAAACTAAATGCAGTTTTGTTTTGTCATCTTTGGCATATCCTTCTTGACTCGTATTGCATAGATTTTCCTGGAAAGAAAAAAATAGAATAAATGCACAGGGAAACCAAATGAAATTTGTTTTCGTGTTAAAAGTCAGCCCTGCTTTTATTTCTACTCTTGTTACCTCTTCATTGGGAATGGTCAGAATTATAGGCAAATGAAGAAAACTGAACCTCAGAATCTCTGTTTCACACAAACGACAACATCAAAAAGGAATTGTTAAAATCAAGACGATAGTGAAGCATGCATATTTCAAGAGAGAATGTTTAAAAGGAAGATTCGCGACACCATTCTCAAACAAGCCGTTTCACATCAAACTTGAACTTTGAAATAGATTGACTGTTGTACAACAGGGGGCGCTATCTTGCGATTGTTGTCGTTCCATTTTCAGTCTAGTTCCTGCAATCAGTTGACCTTTAGCTGTATGATAAACATTGTATTTGAGGTACCTGACCTTCCACCTCAAATTTACATGCGTAAAATTTACTAAAATTAAAGCCATACTCTGTTATGCCTCTACACTGTGCTGCTTTTTGGTGACTTTTATGGGGGTATTTTCAATAAAAGTATGAGGCACTGACGTTCATTGCCGTTTCAAATGCACTGATGAAAGACTGCCTACAGAGATACTGTGGAGTAGTAAGTATGGTTGACTTTTGCACGCACGCTTAAGATGTCGATTGTAAGTCCATCCAATGGTACGTGTTACTCACTGTTACCATTGTCATGATTGTGGAGCCAAGGTATAGGCCCCTAGGTACATGTACTGCCACTGGACTAACATGTGTGACCAGAGTCACCAGGTCCCTGATTTCGCCACCTATTGTCAGGTCTGATTGGTTTTCATAGTTGGCCTATAGTAAGCTGGTAAGTGGTGAAATAAGGGACCTGGCAGTGGCAACTAACCCATCATGCATGTTACTGCCTCTGTACTTCCTGAACAGTAAGGTACTACTCCTTAGACCTTACTGCACTCCACCTTATTGATGCCACGTTCTGCATGCTATATTGCATTTTGAAAACTGCCAAGTAGTCGTACCAGATGAAACCTCCGTTTGTGCTTTCTGAAGCAAATCTTCCTCTAAAGACCCTATGGGACAGCACGGACATCCGGGACTCTTGCAAAATGGCCACGTCGACATACGTGCCTACCAGCCTGTCCAAGGATCAGGTTACACAATCTTTTCCTTGATCAGTACGTACACGCGCTCGTTGCAGTTTTTTTCACCGGTGCAATGTGGTTGCTAGCCACTATTACCGGTATGTGAATTTCCAGACGTTGCGCTGCCCCATTATAATATCTAACGTATAATATGGAACTACTGGTCGTAATTGTATTTTGTTGCGTTTAATTTGCATTATTGAAAAAGGTCTTTTTCTACCATCTTTACCTCTCATCCCTCGACCATTCCCACACATCTGCATTCTTCTGTGGCCGTACGTCATGTGACAAAAACTGGCAAAGCATATTCGCTTAGGCCTGATGAATGTTTATATTGCTTTGGATACCAGTCCCCATAATTCCGACTACTCCCGCTAAGATTTTGTGTAGAGACCTCTTGGAAATCTGTGGTCAGGGAACAACACTAATCACATATCGGCTCGGCCATTTTGAAAGAAGTACATGTAAATTCCCGAATGGCATGGAAAACAGAAATGTTATTAGTCTCACAACTCCACAACCATAGTTTTGCAAAATACATGTATTATCACTCCCTGAAGTACATATCTCAAACATTTTAAATGTGTGTTAGCAGCTAGCTTGACAATGCAGCGTGTATCGCACGCTCTGACATCGCCGCTGCCCTCCCCTCCCACTTGGTCAAGCTGATATGTGATTAGTGCGGTTCCCTGACCACAGATTTCCCAGACGTCTCCAAGGTCTGCAAACATACAGTATGTTGCTCATATTATTAATTTACTCACAGTGGCAGCAAAGAATTTACATTAACTCGCCACACAAGATAAATGTTAATCCAACTTCCTTCCTCATTCTGCATGAGGTTTATGGTGCATATTTTGACTAAATTTCCAGGTCAGGAAGCACATATGCACTAATAAGCAGGTAATCTAAACCCCTGTTTCTAGTAGTCTGTTGGGACAAATGTTCAATATTTCACCTGTACAACTCCGTTTAAAATTTCAAAAAACAAATTGGCCTATCAAAGCAGTGGCAGCCTGCCCACACAAATAATGGCACCTCTGATGTAACCGTACCATCGAGCAAGCCTAAAACCTGGCACACTATAGATCAAATATAGAATAAGTTGTTTGTGTGGTAAACTTGTACCGGCATCTTTCTTGCTTTTGTGTATTGCTGGTTAATGCTTGGCACTTTTGTCAATTTTTCGCAGCTGACATGGCTGTTGTCCCATTGGGGAATTTTTAAAAGACGTGCTACTATGAACTTACATTTTGCACCAATGGGAAGTACTGTAAGATGTTGTTGATTCACTTCCCTCTTTACATGTGACTCCACAGAAGACGTGGGCATGCAAAGCGCATACCTTTAGGCCCCTGTTTCCACTGCATGCATGACTACATGTTCTGGTAAAGAGAACACCCCCAGTGGGGTCAAGGAAGGGAGTGTCGGGTCTGGAGGAGAGGGGCGGAGCCATGGAGGAGGGGGTAAGACCCAGCTGCTTAAGCTGAGGTTCCTCTGCCCAGATGATGTCACTGAGGTCAAGAGATTGTGTGGCGAATGGTTCCCTGTGGAGTGAGTATGCCCAGACTCAATCTATTGAGTAGGAGAGTCTCAGTACTCAATGCGAACCCTTAAGGCATTTTGTCATTTACTGTTGACATTTTAAGTCCATCGTGGTATGAGTGATGACTAACTCACTTTGGAATAAAACTGGAATTATTCCATACATGGACATCACTATTTCTCAATGTAGTAACTTTAAGCCATCGTAAAGCAATAATGCCATAAACAGTTATATTTACCGGGGAAAATACTGAAGCCTTAAATTAGGAAACGGTCTCATCGGGTTTGTGTACAGTGTATCATGTGATGTCCAGCTATGGAACTCTGTCGGAATTGAGCAGTTTGCATTTTTCCCCAGTGAGACTCATCGTCATATTACCACAGTAATGCTGTGTCATTCCCCAGTGCATCTGACAAGATCTGTCTTGATGCAAGTTATTCCTTTGAAGATTCTTTGACCTGAAATTTCATTTTATAAATGAAGCTTAGCACCATCCGTCAGATGCTCAGACTGAGGAAATTTAACTTCATTTTCAAACTAGCAAATCCCCAATTTTGTAGGAAAAATTAGGGACCTAGCGGTACCGGTGTTCTAGCTGTGAAGGTGACATTTTCGAGTTTAAGTTTATATCAAAAAGCTTTGTATTGACGGAGAACTCAGTTTTGAATCCCAGAGAAAATGCACACAAATTTGTTGGTAAAAGTGTTGAATATTCCTATTAATTCACCTTATGAAAGATTCTTTTACTAGCAGGGAACACTTACTACAAATTGGCCCTAGCAACTTCTGTCTCATTTTCACAGAGTGGGTCACATTTATGGATCCCTTGGGGTTTTGAGTAGACCCCTCATCATTTCAATGAGCAAACATTCATACTTTAATTCTGAATTCCTTGCAGATGTGACATGTATGTTGTATGAGTTTACCACATGTGTCATTGTTGTACTTTGCCAATGTAGGTACCCAGACTCTTGGTATCGTGACATCACCAGTGATCAAAAGTTTTACTCGCTTGCGGCAGAGTCGTCGGGCAAGATCGTGGGTCTGATTGTTGCTGAGGTCAAGACAAGGTCTCGATGTCACAGGGAGGTAAGTTTGTAGCTACGTGGCTGCTCCTCACCCTCAAGGAATACTCACGTACATGTATCGGTAAATATGGATATTTTAGGTGGTGATTTTGGTTGAGTGTTGGACTTTAGATGTTGGGCCCGAGAATGTACTACATGTACATGTATTTGGAGGTTTTTATAATGCTACAGAAAACGCTGAGATCTTTGCAGACTTGTTTGTACATGTGCTTACTCCAGTGTTTCACTGCAAGGCATTGATAACAACTGGAAAAAGCAATAGTCTTAAGCCAAGGCTTTTTTAAGTGCATGCTCTTGAAGCCAGTGGTTAACATAATGCATAACACCCAGTATTGCATCAGTCACAACTTGAATAGAGACTACTGAAATCAGAAAGTCAGTACTTCACATGACTCTGAGATAAAATATGCTTACATGTACATCAGTGCACGGTTGATAAAGTGCGTGCCTAAATTCCAGCTGTGAATTCAACGTGGACAAAACATCTGTCACATTTGCATTCAAAATCTTTTGGATTTGCTTAATTAATTATACATGTATTTGATAGCTTTTGCATTATTCGTACACGTATTCAGTCGGTTGTTAAATGACTTTTGAAAATGTATGTGCACAGTGCATCTTGTATCATTAACCCTAACTCCCTAGGGTGTGCGCAAAATCATATTAATAGTGGAGGATTTAGGACTGTTAGGGTTAACGCATGTGTGTCATAGCATGTAAGGTCAGGGGATTTGTTGCTTCCATCCGTAACGTCAAACCTTCTCATGAATACACTTCAAAAATACCAGAAGGTTTGGAATGATTTTGTAGGATTGAGGAAGCATGCAGGGCCTAGCCACTGTTATTTTATAGGACATCAGTCTTCTTTTGAACTTCTGTGACTGTCCTAAAACAGCCAAAATCCAACATTGCCTCTGCAGCGTTTTGATGGCTGCAGAACTCAGCATTATGCAAAGAAATGCTCGTAGGCTCTTGCACAACATCGGATTTTGTTGGGTGTGGCTTTCTGGAAGTTGCACAGAATTTGAATGTGATTTTTTTTCAAAATTGAATTCCATAAATTTATTTTGGCTTGATGTTATTGTATTGTCTTCATGTGACATGCATTAGTGTACCAATTTGTCCAGTTATGGTACATGTACATGAAGAAACCTTACTCGAGCGAAACACGTGTTGAACACTCAAGCCCAAAGGAAAAACACTTGAACATGGGCTGCGAAACTTGAGGCCTGCATACATTTGGTAATCAAAGCATGCATACCGCACCACGTGTTTGGTGAAACCACACTATTGCCTTCTAATTCTGGTCACTGTGCTGTTCTGTTGCTTAGGGTATTTGTGTACCTGTATACTGTACATGTACATGGAGGACCTACATTGAAGACTGTGTCCACCGCAATTCCCCCGCAGCAGACCATTCCATTAAACCCTCCCCAGAGTATTCTGATGCGTCACAGCCGTTTTTATGTCTGACACACAGTGTTCAAAAATCTAACATTGCAAGTAAGCACGTAGGACATGCACAGCTGGAACACAGGTGTACCCTTGGAGATTAAAGCTTGTTAATTGCCCAGTGAGCGGGCCTTACTGGGTTGCTTACCAGGAGTTGTAACTAAATGTACGAACTATCCAGTCATCAGTGTGTTGAGAGCTATACATGAATGGGAGCCTTACTCTTTTTTTCTGACAGACTTGGGATGTGTGACCTAGTGAATTGGGTTTGTGTAATGTGTGAATATAGGGGCAGGGGTTGGAATCCAGCACCAGGGGCCCACTTTCTGACCTTGGGCTAGTCACTTCACCCCCACTTACTGGTACCTTTCTTCACCCAAATGGGTACATGGTGAGAGGGCAGAGAAAGTCACGTTAGCACTTGAAACGGCTGTGCAGAGCCATGGTGTACACCCCAGGGAGTTTGATGATGGATGTTTGTGGGCCAAGTGAGCAGGGTTATAGTTCATTTGTAGTATGTAATGCTATGGTACTTTGTAATGTTTGTGGAAGGTTTGAAGATCTCAGAGAGTATTCTTACTGTGTGCAACAAAGCAGATCTTTTTGAATGCTTTGATATCCAGGCTGTTCAGCAACAAAAATGAAATTAGCTTGGCCTTGCCCAAATGGCTTTCCCCTGCATTTACAGCTGTGGATGGAAGGCTGAGTGTCATGGAGGGTGACAGTGGCAGGACATGGGTTACACAAAAAAAGGAGAAAAACCCTGTCATGCACTTAAAATTGTTACTTATCAGTACATATGCCGAATACATACAGATGTATGGGATGGCTACATGTGGTGAATTCATGTTTCCTATATGTTCATTTTTAGGGTAGTTTACTTGTTTCATTTTTTGGTGTATATCTCAATTTGATTAATTGTTGTGACTGATGCAGCGTATCTATTTGTACATTGTGGAGAGTACAACAACCAGGTGTTGGTTTGATCTAGAGCAAATGCAGATTTCAATGATTTTGTTCCATAAATGTTGAACCTTGTTTAAATTAAAAGAGGTTCAATATTTATGGGTCACAATATCTATTGTGACATTATGAACACTATTTTGTTTGATTTGTTTAAAATTGGAAGTCTGGTATTTAAGCGACGGGGAATAGAATCTATCATAACCAACTGTTTGTTCTAGAAAACTGGGACAGTGTCCAACCCAAACAGTACTGGTTGCAAAACCATTTTTAGAACATCGGTCACCTACATTGTGAGGGTACCAGCATCATTTACTCACCATCAGTCTTCAGACGGATTGGGTTTGAAAGTGGAATTGAAATCTGACAAGAAAATACCAGCAGGTACATGTAGAATTACATGGAATGATTTGACATCTTTGAGAGGTTTGAAATTGTTCCCCCCCCCCCAATTTTTTTTCTAGTAGGAGTCTGAATGCATCAGTTTGTGCCTTTCAGTTCTATATCAATTGGATTCAAACTGATACCGGTAGATGAATCCCAACAGGGGACAATAGTAACACATGCACCAGGAAGTAAATGACGCTGGGTTTCAATCCCTAAAACATTTGTGCACAACCCTTGAAATACTGTGGAGCACATCAGAGACAGGTATTACATGTACGTGTACACAGGCCTACGTTTTGTACATTGAAAGTGTAATCACAAACTCAGCTCTGTACTTAAAACTCCCTATGGTGTATGTAAAATCATATTGAAATCAGAGAATCTGGGACTGCTAGGGATCTACATGTATAGTTCATTCAGTTTATAGTTCATTGGAAGTGTACATGTATGTACCAGTATGGTAAAGCTTGAAAGAGGAACTGCTATAGTTTTGAGTTATCTTTCCTGACCACTCGACCATTACAATGTACATGTACATGTACATGTGTGGTCAGTTGTACTGGACAGGTGTACTGGTACATGTACATGTGTGATCAGCTGTACTGGACAGGTGTACCGGTACATGTACATGTGTGGTCAGCTGTACTGGACAGGTGTACCGGTACATGTACATGTGTGGTCAGCTGTACTGGACAGGTGTACCGGTACATGTACATGTGTGGTCAGCTGTACTGGACAGGTGTACCGGTACATGTACATGTGTGGTCAGCTGTACTGGACAGGTGTACTGGTACATGTACATGTGTGGTCAGTTGTACTAGATAGGTGTACTGGTACATGTACATGTGTGGTCAGTTGTACTGGACAGGTGTACTGGTACATGTGTGGTCAGCTATACTGGACAGGTGTACCGGTACATGCACTGTACATGTACAGCAGTCATCTGTGGTGTACTTAATGCATGTACATTGTACATGTAGTGTCAATCTCCTCCGTGTTAGGAGCCACCACAGTGTTGTATGTGTCTTTTACACAACATACTTTCCCATAAAGCTAGTTGAAGAAGTCAGGCAAAGTTTGGATTTTTTTTTTAATACAATAACAGCACCTGAACATATACATATGTTCAAACAAGTTTCCATGCCGTCTGATTTTGTACATGTACAGTACCAGTACATGTACATACATGTACATGTACATGTAGGCCCTTTCAAAGCAGAGACTGTTGATTTCATGGAGTGACTCTGACTTGGAGGAATCTGTATTGAAAAGATATGCCTCTGTCAGTCTGTGCATTACTCGTATTTTGTGTTTTTAATGCATACTACTGGTTGTTGGATTTTTTTTTACTGTCACTTGTCAAACAAGGTTGGCTAAATGCATCTTTATTCGGGATTAGAAACGGGTTTAAAAATAAATCAGTTAAGAGAGATGTTAAAAAGTGTGCCCTTCTGTGGATGGTTTAATTGATAAATGATATTGCCTGCGAGAGGCTCACAATAGACCCCTTGCAGTTGGTACTTGGCGACCATGCCTGTCACATTGGAACCATGGAGAAACTGTGAAGTGCAATCCCTTTACTGAGATGCTGACTTCTATATCAATTTATGTTCTTTGTCTCCCCTCAGGACTTCAACATCTTGTCATCCACATTCCCAAACTCAACCCAAGTGGCCTACATTCTCAGTCTGGGGGTCGTGAAGGAATACAGGAGAAGAGGCATTGGTAAGTCAGGGTCCTATACATCCTCTCGTAGAAGAAGATATCCAGTGTCAATGTTTACCAAAACCTGGTTGTGTGTATTCTTATTTATTCAACCAAAACAAAATAACAGAGTTTAGCAGCATGCATAAAAGCAAAACAATGAAAACTAAATTACAAAGCTGAACAAAGAGTACAAAGCTTGCTTCCGCAAGCTTGATTTCAGGCTCTAGATTTGTAATTTTTGGCCTCTAACTTCGGGATCTGGTTACCTGGTTTATCAGTAACATTAAGGTCCTGTACTATGAACCTAAAGTTCAGAATGTTTCCATTTAATGCGAAATTGAAGCTTTCTTCATGATTCATGACCCTGAGATTCACACTGAATCTGGATACAGCTCTAGGCAAGGTTTGGTAACCATCCAACTTCATGTTGTTCACAAGATTTGATCTGAAATTTGACTCTATAGTACTTTAAACTACAGTAGTTTTTCCGTAACGTTAAGCCTTACATATTTCACTCAAGGACATACTTTTTGGGGTGTGCATTATGGGTATTTTTGGAACCGGGTACCCATTTATGTCAGTACCGGGTACCTGGGTACCCTTAATATTTAGGACCCTTAATATTTAGGAACACTTAAATGGCATTGCGCAATTCCGGTAGACCATTTTCCCCAAACAGGGCTCCTTTTTCATACATAGGAAGCAGCACATTGTTCTGAATGTTTCAGGGAATCTCCCCCACCTTTCTATTAAATGAAGAGCTCCCTTGAATTTTTGACAAAGTAGCGCCATCAGTCTCTGAACCGCAGTTACTGGTATGACTGTGGGACTAGGTTTGCAGCACTGGGATGATTTTGCAGCGAGTCTGCCCTTTGTATATGTGGAGATTTTTATGGCTACCCAGCCCGAAAAACTGGAATTGGGTTTTGATATCGATGGGTGGGTCCCTGGATACCTGGGTACCTGGCACAGGCCTACAGTGACAGTTGCAATTAAACCAACTATTCATGTCATTCTTGGAAGAGCAGTATGGTATGCATGAGATTAAAGTTTGGTGTTACATTGTGCATGATACCGGTAAATGGTTCTCTAATTTTCTGGCATTGCATAAGTTTTGAGTTATCCAGTGAAAATACTGAATGGAAAGAACTGGCCTCAAATTTTGTGTATTGTATGTGTCTAGCGTTTATCTGCGAGCATTAAGAAAAATCTTACATAAAATTTGCATCATGAGGTCAACACAGCAGAATAAAAAAAACGATTTCAGGTGGATTGAACCAGAGATTTCCTGTATGGCCTTTTGGTGGTAGTGAATTCAGATCCACTAAAGTCCTTGAGCCTTACACAGAGTGTAATAAAAGTTCTTAACAAAGAGCATTCACATAGGGAACTACAGTGTACCAGTAAGGGTACCCCTTTAAGAGCCAATGTGCAACAGGGACCAAGCTGCTGCTACAGTGAATCATGCATTTCAGTATCTGTCCTCCATTACAATTTGCAAATGACCCCGAAGCTATGAACAGTAATGGAATAGATGGGGTATCCCTAAGGATGCACTGTTCTCCCCAACAAGGAGAATAAGAAAGAATGCTCCCAGCCACCTTTTCAGTTAGCTATCTAATTACTCATTTTGAAGTGTAGACTTTTTCCACCTGCTACTGGTAGTACATAATACAATGTGTACACACTGTATGTACATGTACATACAGTTGTGTGTTCTGTGGGCTTATGTGTGAAAGCATGTGTTCATAACCTGTGTCAGCAAACACTAATTCTCCTGTTTATCAACTTGCACCATGAAATAAACTGAATAGTAGTTTTAGTACTTTGACATTCAAGGAAAGTTCACTGTAATATCCACATTAGCCACATCAAGCGCCAAATCCGTAACTGCCAGCTTTAGAGGAAACCAATCTCCCCAAGATTACCTGCCTTCAAATCAACTATTTCCTTGTAATGCTGCATGTCCAAGTAAAGGAACCATCTGCTCTGACCTGGGTGACTTTTTTTTGTCCAGGGACCCTGACTGAAATCAGAATCCTGCAAACTCCTGCTCTGACAGGCAACAGTACTCCAAACTTTCCAGGCACACTATCTGTGCTTGTGGAGACCAATGTGTGTAAAGGTCATAACATTCTGGGCTCTGCCGTGCACACTATTCATGTGGGATTTGGGGGACACAGTACAGTTAGGACTAGGGTTTTTGTTGTGTTGTGTTGAGATAAAAGGGGATTTCTGGTCAGTGAAAAATACACCATGATGAACAGAGAGTGATAGCTGAAATCTTCTGCAAGGTAATGTACATGGTTGTACATCTGTATACTAGTACATACACATATGTACATGTACATATTACAGCTCAACACAGTACAAGCCATTTTGTCAATCCAATCCTTACTCTACACATTCATGTATATGATGAATTGGGGAGTCAGGTTGGCGTAGTGTTTCTTTCCTCGCCTTTCACCTCTTGGGGCCTGGGTTCGAATCTGACTCAGTCCACGTGTGGCTTGGGTTTTCATTCCCTAAGGTACCAGAGTCCCGAGGGTTTTCCCCAAAACATTTATCTGGGGTTATCCTCCCGCCTCTAAAACTGAATATTTCTTTCTTGTCTTCTTCACTCATTTTCATCTTGTAATTGGTGTTAAATGTGCTGTTGGATGAACAAGATCCAATGCAAAGCAAAATATTAACGGCTCTAGGAAGAGGTACACACCTCATGCCCCCCTCCCTATATTTCAGGTATCCTTTCCTGTATCCTTGGTTTTTTTTTTGCTCTCAACTGCTTATAAATATACCGGTAACAGCTTTTCAAGACAGATCTAATTACAACTTACATGCCACCCAGCTTCCCTTTTTTGTAAATGCCAATTCCAATGCTAAAACGGTGATACATTTTTTTAAAAGCACTTTCAATACTTTTTGTATTCATTGTTTTGTCTAAAATTACTGGAAACAAAAAATGCAACATTTCAGATTTCTGCAAGCTGTTTTCCAATTCATCTTCTGTCCACACTTTCCTCAAGTATGATATTCATTTTCACAGCCTCCAGCAAAGACTAGATTCAATCTTGAATCAGCATTCTTTGCTTCTTTTTTTTTGGATACCCTGCTTCAGAGCAAAGGAGTTGACCCAAACCTCCCTCGGTGTAAAGTTACACTACACACTTTGTTCTGGGATGTGCACTGTTGTCGTGGCAACCCAGGTGCTAGCCGAGCAACAAAGCCACTGACCGTAGGATTGATGACGATGGAAGGGGAAAAAATAAAGATGTCAAATTTCATGGTCTTTTCAACACAAGAACAAATGAAATAACCAACTATAAATCTAGTACATATTTTAACTAGTTTGCTGATCACTTGCCTTACTTTCCAAAATTTTCATTTTGATTTTATGCTTTGTATGCTGATATTACAAACCCTGACTTTTAATTCTCTTCTACATGTATATCCTGTCAAATTTGTTAATTTGTTTTTACAATTATTGTTGAACTGAGAGGTATATACATGTACCTTTGAGCACCTAGAAGAAACAGAAACAAAAGAACAAAAAAATATCAAAATAATTTTCAATATGTATGTCTATTCGACCTTCATCTACGAACAAAAATCTGGACTACATGACTTGACCTTGTCGCTTCAATTCCTACAGAGCCTGTCTCTGCATCTCAGAGAAGCCACCTCTCTCGTTCTACAGCCACTTATTAGAATCTTCCAATAAGGTCTGCTCTTTTGACATCACAGCTGTATTTTTCGTTCAAGCGGCTGCTAAAAGTATGGCTGGCCATTGGAACAAAAATTAATTCACAGAGTTAAATAACACTCGTATTATACTGCTACATACTTCCAGCACATGTGAATGAAAATACAACCGTACTGTATTTAAAATCACTGAGACAGTCTCCATTTTGAACAAAATGGAGGTAAAATAAAAAATCAACCTTAATGTTTTCTACAAAATTTGGCTGCCTATACAAGCCATAGGCAAAATAAGAGAGGTCATGGAGGTCCAAATCAACCAGGACTACATCAGACCAGACCTCCATGCATCTCTTCCCAAGAGTATCCCCAAATTAGGCTTGCCTGGATATTTTGGCTATTTGTTAGATACCGACACTATGCAATTTGTACTTCCAAGAATTAAGAAAGGGATTTTTTTTTGGAAGCATGTACATGTATGTATACATACGTTTTAATGAAATCTTTGAAGACAGTGTCCAATTTAACCTTATTTTCATTTTATTTTTGTTTTGAAGGGCACATTGTCTTTTGGAGCCTTTTAAGTTTTCATGTTTTTGGAATATCCATAATCCTTTACAAATCTATAATGTCATTCTAGCATGAAATATCCGTGCTTAATATACATGAATTTCTGCACAAACAGTTGCTGGAAATTCTGTTGGTGTTGAAAATTCCTTTTCCGGGGTGATTTAATGTTGAGTAAACACATGACCCGACTTGTACATGTAAGCCCAGACTATCAATCAGCAAATCTTCAGTTCACGATGTGAAACAGAAATCTTGACACTGGACAGTGTCTTCCCTGAATTACATCACAGAAAAAGTGCCCTCAGTTGTCCAGAAAGAATGTAAAATTTCACGTTTAAAGAAGTGACCTATTCAACAAGATCACAAAGAGGAGATATCAAGCAGTTATCATGCTTATTCAAATTAAGAAAAAACTGCCCTAAATGTGCATGTACAGAAATTCAGACATATTCACTGCAAAAGGCCCTCGTTGCTAAAAATAAAATCAAATTCTACATGTTAACATACTAGCACATGTCCATGCACACATGTACATGTGATCCTAATATTATCCCAAATCTGAAATGTTACCAATTTCTATTCTATGTACATGTAGCAAGCAGAATAGAAATCCCAGTGTAATCGTTTAAAAAAATTCCAAAATATACATGTACCGGTACATGCTTACAAAACGATAAACACAACTTTGCAAAATACTGCATAAAATATGAAGTATCTAATCTAATGAAGTCATAAGAAGCAAGTAAGAA